ATTTCAGTTTCTCTACATCTCGATTGCCCCAATGGTTAAACCACTGAAGCATCGACCCGGAATCTTTTTTCTTGTGACCAACTTATACATAGATGGTTCCTGATGTTCCTTTTGTAAAATTTAATCGGATCAACCTCATGGACCGTGTCTCCCATTGTTATATTTGTGCTATAATGCTAGAGGTTTCTTCTTTTCCGGAAACAACAGCCCAGGAACAGATAGCAATTCTCAGTGCTCGATGATATCAACTGATGGAGGTACCTGGGAATTCTTTTTAGAAATGCTACGCATATCAATAATCCGAGGAATCATATGTTTTCAGCAAACCCGCCGTACAATTTTACTAAAAAATCCGTCGGTTGTACTTGCGTTGTAGACAAACATGTTATTTTTTCACTTATTATCGTTACTGGTGTAATAACAGTACAAGTCTCTTTCTCAGTAACCGGGGAAGATGGTTGTAAGCGGAGAGAAAAATAACTGCAATAAAGAGTATCGAGAACGGGAAAGTATAGTGGAAGCGAACTCAGGGCAGCAGTTCAAAAGATTGTTAGGTGTGCATTTCTCAAATGTTAGATTCCGAGAGCGATTACCCATAGACATTTCACATTTTTTTACTCCTAAACTACCGTTAAACGATCATTTTAACGAGATCACGTGAGAAGGTGAAAAACATTCAGAGTATTGACAAGTCACAGTTTGCTTTTTAACGTTTTGGTCATATTTCGATGGAGTTGTACAGATTCGAATTTCCACTTGCTCCACAATACAGTAATCAGTATTCCCAGGCTGCACACCCTGACAAGTTTGTTTGAGGTGCTATACTTATGGACTTTGGTGCAATAGCCTAACCGACAGGACAGTGGGAACAAACCCAGTTAGGGGGGAAGTGAGTCCAGGGTCGAATTAGGGTCCATTTGAGGTCTGCCGCAAGCAACCTCAGAAAAAAGCAGATTCCACGTTTTCAGCAGTAGTATAGTATGTAGCTGCAGCCAAACCCAACTGCGGGTGAGAAGTGACGGATTTGTACCTCAGTGATTATCAGTTGCCTGGTTTTAAGCGGGATATAGCTATCCATTGAGCAAAACGTTTGCAATCCTACCGTTGTAGTCAACGCGGGGCGCTAGTGTTCTTTGTCAATCGAGCTGAGAATATGGCTTTTAAACTGTTAGAGTCTACGGATGGTCGTCGATTCCTCCAAAACTCTAGATAACAAAAATACTGAAACAGTTCGCTAGGCTTTTATTCATTGATTTATTTGAGGTAAGCAGCTCTGGAAGCACATGAAACGTTCCACCCAGCGTACCTCTATGAATCGCCTAGGTGAACAAATAATCACCAGATTACGGCAGTCTCCCGGTGATGAGAATCCATACAAGTATCCTCCCGGAGATTATTGGTAAGATCAGCTGATTCCAAACAATATGGGCACCTAGAGATAAGAGTAGTTTAATGCATACAGACAGGGAACCCGTCGCCAAGTTCTGGCGTGGCTTTGCGCTCAGAAAGGTCAAATTTTGATGAATAAGAAATTTTATCTGAAGCAAATAAATTGGATAAGCAGCAACTAGTGAGAGTGATGGGCTTTGACCAGAAAGAACCAAGGCGGTTCATGAAGATGGCATTTGGAAAAGGAGCGCGGGTGGTCTTTAAAGATTTGCAACTATCTGTTGACCCGTGGTTTACTCCTTCATGCAGTTTATTGCTAGAAAATTCGGTGCAATAGCGATTGGTTAAAATTCGCTTGGAAATGACTAGAAGAAAATGTTAAAAATGATGTCACCAAAGTAGGATGACTTTAAAGCTAACTACTCGAAAATATCGCAGAGGATTTGCATGTGCGCAGGTGAGACCGAGTTTGCAGCAAGCTAAACGGCGATGACAACAATGATAATAATTAGAGTCATCAGAATAATGTGTTAGTTTGCTAGTGAAATTTACGCACAATTCCTATTTTCATTGCATGTGTGAACTCATGGACAACACTATTCAATGGTAGACGGAAAGAAATCATGCAAACGCTGAATACGCACAGATCCGGGCTCTATCAGTTAAAGAAAAATGGTAATACACCAGTATTTCGTGCTCTGATACTATACAGCCACCAATGCAGGAGAGAGTTGGATCTGTATCCAAATTCCATGGCTAAAAGCTCGTCATAAATCCGTAGAAGATCGTGAATATGAATGGGTACTATCCTAAGCCTCACAACAGACATCGAGGACAAGGCAAACAAATGTAATGTACCTTAAACCGGTGATCGATAGTCTTGGTCAAATTGCTACAATGCATCACCTGCAAAAACTCAATAGGTCAGTGGAATACGGAAACAGAGGAATAACACTAAAGCTCAGTCGATGCGCAATATTGCCGGCTGGTTTAGGTCCAGCCACCACAATACCCATGTCTGGCTTTGCTGTGAGGAGTGCAGCGATTTGCCGTATCCAGTCCAAATGGTTCAATCGCAAGATTTTCGATACTATACAGTGGTAAAATAGGGACCAAATGACATGGTAAGGTGAAACACGTTATCGATGCCCCATTGTGTAATGCCAGGATTGGTTACACATGGAAGAAAACGGTTATAAAAATCGATGTGATTATTAATCATAATGCAAGTATAACAATTGAGAAGAGAACTCTTTTCGGCAATTCACTTCAGGCAACTACAATTACAAGACAGATAAACGTACAGGTAAGCGAACGCTGGGGATGTGATTGGTCGAACGAAGTCGATCAATAGTCCACTCGATACAGTCAGACGTCATGAGTCGCGTGAGCAAGCGCGGAGACGCACAGAGCACAGACGCGTTGGCCGGCAGATCTACAATGGTCACTCTCAGTCGTAACCGAGCTCCGACATTACGTTCACGGCAACAGTAGAGATTGTATCAGTGTTCTCTGTTTGTACAAATTGCAATGGCTTCAGCGGTGGCCAACAAGCGCTTTCTGATTCCTTTAGGGGTGCGCCTCGGTGCAGTGAGGACTACCTTGAATGAGTCATTAGTCCGAATCTGATGGTCGGTACTAAGCAGATGTTCGATGATTGAGCTGCGGACATTCTTAACCATACCATGTTGCAAAGAGAGGGCAGTGCTCCGCTATCCGTCTAGATAGGCGCCTGATCGTATGTCCGAGGTACCTCGCACCACAGGAGCAGATAAATTGATATAGAACAAGATTCGGAACGTGCCGGGATTCTATGCTTGAGGCGTTGCGTGATGAACGGAACAGTTTCAGCAAATAGATGAACTTTAGCGGTCGGATATGTCTTGCTTACCGCCAGTGACAGTCTCCTATTCAGTAAGTTGAAAGCGATATCTCCTTTGAAAGGAACTGAGAGGTAAACATCCTTCTTTCTTGCAGTCGTTATCGGTATAAGTGTTGGAACATAGAAGCGTTTTACGTCAGACACAGAAAATAACGCAACAATGAAAAGTGATGAGAGTGAAAACTAAATACGCAGTTCCACTAGAGCTTGTCAAGCTAAAACAGGCTGCTTAGTGCCATCCAGAATAGTCAGGTATTTATAAAGGTGGTCGACTGATGTAGTCTTTCCACCCAGTTGCAGACGCAGTGGCCGTGAACAGAGATCAGAGTCCGGAATTGAGAGCGATGGGGTCAAATGTAAACACACTGATCCGTTATAAATTAAAAGTAGCAAGAAGGATAAAAGTTACTGAATTTGGTCCCGAATAACTAAAACAACAACAAGAAAGTGTATGCAAAACTTAATTTGTGAGCATGATCGACGGCAACAACACATATTGGTTGTAGAAACAGCAGTTGGGGCAGATGAACCCATCAGTAGTCAGTCATCCAGCTGATAGCTGGCTACAGTAACAGAGTGAAGGAAAGAATCGTGAGGGAACCGAAAGACTTTTCTCCCAACAGTACATGTTTAGATTGTGTGCGTCTGCAAAGAGTGAAACGCAGCCATCAGAAAAGTAAGGTAATATGGGACCCATCCGCTCAAAGCATATCTATCGAACCAAAATTATCTCCTCACGCGACACGCAAACACAGGAGGTCTATTGGTGGTTCACGAAAAGTCAAGGGAAAATAAGTGAAGGGATTAACGTACTCGTGAGTGGAGGATTAATGATATAATTAATTGAGGGTTCGTCGCAGTCAGCTGCAAATCAGTCGTCCACATGCCCGGAAAAGCACTAGACTGCAGTTTAAGCATGTTGGGCATCACCAGTGGCGCATTCATCGGGTCCATCAGGATTCGAACACACGACCACCAGCGGTTTGCACCGACAGTTAGCAGCTTATGCCACTGAGGACAGCAATGAACTATCATACTTTGCAAGCTAACTGCGATATAGCGCGTCTTATACTTCACTGCCATGCAAGTTAAGAACGTTGCAGAGGATCCGATGAATGGGCACTACTGATGATGCCCAACAGGCCGAAACTGCAGGCTAGTGCATTTCCGGGCATGTGGACGAATATCTGATTTGTACCAGTACCGTTGGAATTTAAGACCAGGTCACAAACCGTAAAGCAAAATCTCGATGCGTTTTTGCTAACGTTCGCCACCTATGGCGCCGGCGCGACACCACTCTCGCTCTGAAGGGTAGAGAGTACAGTGCAGCGGTACGTCCGACTATACTGTAAGGTTGTGAAACCCGACCCATTAAATCAGCCGACATAAAGGGGCTAGTTACCTTAGACCACCGGTGCCTTCGCAGTTTGGCTTACGTCTGGTGGGAACACCGCGTAAGTAACGAGCGTGTTCGAATCCTTATTTACGGCACAGGAAAAGGAAATGAACCGCCCAATACGGTTATTTCATGCACTAGGCTCCGATGGCTCGGCCACGTCTTAGGCAAGCAAGCCCACCGGCTCCCGCGAGGTTTGGGACTGGCTGCAACGAACGTTCAATTAATGTAGAGATTAAGCTGATAACATTAACAGCAGTGACAAGATGCTGATGGGAAGAGATAGAACTGTGAAGCCCAATTTGACAAAATAAAAATTTTAATAGTACTAACCGGCTTTTCGAGCACGTTCAATCAAGCACTCCACCTTTAACTGATTGTGCAGGCTTATTCCACTAACGTTTCGTGGGAGAACAGTGCCATCCGGTCTTAAAAACTGGCACAGTATGCGAATATCCTATAAGGAACGGGTAAAAGTGATGCAATAATATATACAAACCGCTCACTGTGTGTTTCAAATTTAGTCCAAGACGGCTAATCGGATCGGTATCACGAGGGTCACCGAATCCGTCTAACCGAACAACTTTACCGAAACGTTCGGATGGGACAAGTACTCCTTCGATCTAAATCCGAGAATTAAAGATAGTTGGTAGAGGCACTCACTGTGGTCCTCTTACCATCAACAGAGAATCGAACTACAAACAAGAGGAAACAATGAGATGTCAAGAAAAAAAGGTTGCGCTTACTTTCCTTTTTATACTGCCGTGCGGTGAGATAAATGTGGCGGAGTGGCACATGGGGTGTGACGCCACAAGCGAAATGTGAGCGCACAACAGAAAACATGTCAATCAGTAGAATGTTAAACGATTTCTGAAACAGAAAGGTGGAAGATGAAAAGTTGTACATTAATACAATGACGTAACACGAGTGTCACCAATAATATGGGTAAAACAGTGGAATATGGAAGAAAAAACACAAAAGTAAGCCACAAAGCGGGTTTTGAAAGGATAGAAATGCCGTGTGACAGGCTTTAAGATTGATAGCAGGAGACCAAAAGTAAAGGTGCCATTAGTTCCAGTTAGTTAAAGGCTTCCGGTCAGATCCTTCAAACCACCTTGAGACTTCAGTTCATCGAGACAGGAAGCTGGTAAATATGAAAAATTACTAAGATAGAGTGGACGCTTCAAATTCAAGAGCCAGTCATCCAGTGCGGTACTGCTATGGCGCCAAATACCAACTGATGGACATGGGTGTTGCTCCATTGGCGCTCTCAACTGATATGGGAAAAGCCTCACAAACGCCGATGGCTAACGAGCAATGGTCATGGGTACTGACCTGAGAAGTAACACCTGTTATATACCCAGTTATTGGGTGCGTGAATTATTTCTTGCTGTGTTTACAATTGACGAAATCTAGAGAAAGTAACATGGAAATACACATATAAAACTAGTCACACCGAGCGTTGTATGGCGGGCACAAGCAATGGTGGCATATCGTGCCAGGTACATCCAGATTCGAGAGTGAAGAACGTAACGAAGCGCTAGTGCCAGTATGTTCAGTTGGATCTAAGAGCTGAACATTCCGTACATTATAAGATGGTCTACCGGCCAACTGGAAGATTTTATACATTGGATAAGGCAGTAAGGACAGTCACGTGGTTTCTCAGACACAAAATGGGAAATAAAAGTACAGCCTTGAGGCGCATCATTTGCCATAGTGTACCAGAGTCTCCAGCAGACCCCGCGAGTGGCAAAGAATTCAAGCGACACACTCCGCTGGACATCTTCCAGTGACAAGCAACGCAACCAACCGTCGTGGTAAAGTAAAGTAAATCAAATCACCATTTTCATTTCGCATGAATAATGGGATAATGGTAGGAGAGGGAGGAACAAAGTTCACGATACAAATGACAGCAAAACCCGTTCACCGAAATGAACAATAAACGATAATTAATAACGGGCAAAAAAGCGATAACTTGACAAGTCCCATGAAATAACCGGAGTGGGGATCAGAAAATCACGGTACAAAACGACAGGGAAAAATTCTGGTTTATAGTGACCCACTGAATTATTCACATGAACACATGCTGGTATTCTCACCGCTAAGTAACAGAGAGGACTGGTGAGCACGCTGCGCTAATTGGTTTTTCGATGGAAACAGACTGTCACGTAATGTAAATGGGTTAGAGTATAGTCCAATCAGTTTATAAAAGCATTAATGTAGGGGGAAATAACGTGAGAAGGAAGAGCACTTCGCGTTCTGGATACCCGAAAGGAGAACACATTTTGTCAGCAAGCGAGCCGACTGTGCTGTGTGGTCAGTTTGAGCGGGTGGCCTCTCAGGTTGATATCGTGGTTGACTTGAAACAGAACGCGACAGGCGGGGTTGGAGTTGGTCAGTATTTGGTATACCATAAAATGGTCTCCGCGCAAGCGCCCGTATTCGCTGCTGAACAAGCCCAAGGCTTGCAGTCTGCGTTGGTAGGAGAGGTGCAACAGCCCTCCAACGGATTTTGATGTCCTATGTTGTGGAGTTTCAAGCGCATCAGCATCGTGTTTCCGCCAAGTTTGTCAGGCGTGGATCGCGTACCCCAAGTAGGGCCTGATGTAGGCATTCAGCACCTGTAGAAAGATTGATGGTTCGAACTTCCCGAACGCCCTTCATAGGAGGCAAAGGTGCTGAATTGCTCTTCTTGATGTTTTTTCGGCCTGTTTCAAGCAGCCAGGGTCGTCTTGCATGATTGCTTCAAGGTCGCTTTTCTGCGCAGCATGTTGCCGCATCTGCTCTCCTAGTCGATATTCATGAGTACATCGATAATGTGTACGTAGAGCTTTGCATTTCGCTAAATGAAACTGGAGTCGATTTTCTGATGACCATGTCGATGTCTTTGTAGCGCCGGGTAGTCGTCCACATTCCTGATGTCATGCCAAATCTTGTCACCAGCAAATTTCAAGAAGTCTGACTGGAGCACTCTGGCAAGATGGTTGACGAATACTAGGAATAAACTTGGTCACAGTACTGATCCTTGGAACTCACTACACTAGACTTCAATGGGGTCGGAGATGGATCTGCGGACTCCCGCAATTAGTTGACGTTGAAAGAGGTAATTACTTACACAACCTAGTACACGGTCATCGATTCCTTAGCTTCGGGGTTGGTGAAGAAGAATGCAGTGGTCCAGGCGGTCGAATGCTTTAGTGAAGTCCAAGCACAAGATGTCGACTCTGCCTGGCATCGAGTGACATCGTCCAGCTTGCTCGGTCAAGTAACAAGTTTGTGGTAGAGGAACGATTTCGTTGGAATCCATGCTGATGTGACGCTGATGTTGTTGCTGTCAAGGTATCCTACGAACGCATCTGCGACTATATCTTCTATAACTCTGAACAGCAATGGGAGATGTGGTTGGACGGCAATTAGAAGGCTCCGCACGATTCCCACTCTTGTGGGCACCAGTAATTTTTCGAGGCTTCGTTGGAAGAACGGGGAAAGCGGTTCGGCCAGGTTCGTGGCGACTGCTTTTAATACCTTCGGTGCGATATTGTCCATACCAGAAGAGCTGTACACGCACATTATCATCATAATTACAGAAGTGAAGAATACGTGGTTTAATTCTGAGGGTGTAGTGAGCTGTGACATGCACGGGTGACGTGACGACTAACTTTGGAAAGTGCGGGTAAACTGTTGCCGAAATGCGCGGGCCGCATCTTGTTTAGTGGGTGCCAGACTATCTACTGCACACGGAACTGGGATTCCGTGCTGCAGTTCCCGGAGGACATTTACGTGCCTGTAAAGCATCATAAGATTAGTAAATAATTTCGTCGCTATGTCCTGTTGGTGTCTGAGTTTGTCTTCGCGGACCAATTGAACACAGTGATTTCGATGAGTTATGTAAGCATCCCATGGCTGCGCATCCGGACAGGTTTTTAGTGGGCGCAGGAGCCCTAAGTTCGGCCTTATTCTGGGCGGCGTCCAATCCGTTATCAGAGGTCTAGTTAGCGGCATTCTGGGTAACAGAAGCATTCAATTTTAATTGTTCAATTGGGACGGTAGTCGTCACCACTGGCGGTTTTACTGTCATCAGATAATATTGGATGTGGGTCCATCCAATGGGCCGACATCGATGTAAATTCCAAGTCCCTTCATCAGTAAACCTACTTTACGTCCAAGAGAAATGAAGAAAGATTACATTTTCTGATTACTCAGTCTGTCGTTGCTTTATGCCTCACCTGTGACATCAAGAATCTTAGGTGGTAGACTACAGCATTAAGCAGAACTGAGAAGCAAGGTTCGCCAGTCGACAGTCTTGCATGCTAACCATAGCTCAAGCCGGTACATTACTCATGGTAACAGCGTTTTCATATATAGCACCGCATGCCACCAGACGTATCCGTCCCGGGCTTTAAGCAGCTCATACTGGCACAGACAGATGGGTTTGCTGTTAAACGCAAACGAAGGCACAATAGCTCCCGTATTCTATGAGTCCAACAAGACGATTTCAAGACTAAAGTAAGAAGCAAAAATATGAGACTTGCGAGCTGTAACCTGCGTGGCAATCAACAGAAGCAGTAACAAGTTAAAACAGGACACAAAACGAAAAACATCTTCGTCTCGTACCCTCGCCGGGCAATTCCCGTTTCCTTTTGTTTACTGAGGTCAGGTTTGTTTTTGTGTTATTTTCTGCAGTTTTATGTGCGAACAACTGTTTCCGGGGCAAAACATATCGTACATTTTCTTCGAGATCTACAACATGCATGCAACAACAAATCCGTGAGAAGAGGTGAACAAGAGCGACATGGGGATTAGGCAACTATTGCCTCCCAATCTTACAGCATGTTTTCCGGTGAGCTAGTGTCATGTCCTTCAACTGGCAACAGAGAGCACTTCTGTTACTTCCTTAAAGAACAACTGATGCAATCAGAATGTTTTAACTCATCTACATACTTTCCAGAACAGCCTGGGATTTAGTGGAAGAAACGATAGAAAAGGTTTTTGCAATTACACAGAATTTACGATAAGGTTATATCTAAGCGTATGTATTCCGATTATGTCGTGTACTTTGCAGTGATAAGTCGAGATTTCGGCGTATCACACTAATCGAGCTTTTTTGCCGAAATATCGTGGAAAACAGTATTCGAATAAACAAGAGGAACAAAATTTGTCTATTGTCAAATTTTCCCTGAATTAAGGTAACTTGAATCGACTAAAGTGGTACTGTATCAAGCATTTCGTCGATGCTTGTTGGCAGTATTTTCGGTTTTTCCGTGTACCAACTCCGTTTTGCACCCGGTTTTACCCACTTGCTGTTCGTCGTTTTACCGCTTTATGTTTTCCACTTTATCATGTCTGTTTCGACACATACGGACGTGGATGCACCCCAGCGTCCCTCTTCTGATGATGCTAATGCCTCTTGCGTCAGCGCTAGTCATGATATGCCGGTGAGAGATTTTGACGGCATGCAGAGTAACGAGCACAACCGATGGTATCATAAGTATTGTACTGGCCTAGCAGTTGGAAAAAAACGCAATGCTGTCGACCAGTAACAATTTGATTTTTAGTTGCGTCAGTTGTTTTGGACTCCGGCAAGGCTGTGCAGCTTTTGTTGGTAGAAAAGCTGAAGTTCTTGATGCCGGACTGCAAAGGGTGGAGCAAGCAGGCAATGTATTCTCCATTGTGGTCGCAAAATTAGATCACAAGATGAATTTCATTATGAAGATGCTTGCGGTCCCCAGCGAAGGTGTTCTTGGGGGTTGCGATACACCAAACCCTGGCAACCAAGCTGTAACACTGACCAACGTGTCAAGCGTCCCGTTTGTAGCGCGTTAAGGTAGCGCGTTTGGCTACGCCCATAGCAATGCTGAAATGCGAGTTTGT